GAGGAGGCGACTGAGGGAGGCAGAGGAAGGGGTGGAGTAGCGTGCAACAACAGCATCCCAAACCCCCTGGGCTGTCTCCACCTTGTCAAAGTGGGCGGCCTCAGTCGAGGGGAGATGCTCCGTCAGCGCAAGAGCGGCGGCAGCGTCGCGGGAGTTCCACACGTCCCTCGCCAGGACCCGACGGTCGTAGTCCGCCTGGTCCGCAGGAGTCGGCGCTGGGCCGGCCGGCAGGGGGTCGGCAAAGGGGCGCCTTGAGTGCACCAGACGCATGGGCCCACAGAGTGGCGCCGTCCTGACGCTGACTGGTGAGGTAGCGCGTGGTCTGGCGCTGCCAGGTACTGAACTCGATCGGGCGCCCCTCCGCATCGAAGCGAAGGCGGCGGGATTCCATAATGGAGGCCATGCTAGAGGCGGCTGGAGCATGGAGGAGGCGGAGCTAAGAACGAGGAGGGAAATCTAGGAGCGCCAGGTGTGGCGAGGTAAGATACCGGCGGAGCTAGAGGCTAGGAGTACGGGGCGACCTAGTCTAGGCGTGGAACGGTGTGGAACTCCAGATATGAGCGCTAGAGGCGAGGAGCTAGTGGCTACACGACTCTAACCTAGGTAGCCGGCGAGAGAAGCGGCTGCCAGCCGCTGAACTAGAGACCAATGGCAGTAGGAATGGTTAGGGCCCAGCGAACAGGGCGGTGTTGGTCGCAGGGTCGAGTGCCAAGTGCAGGTGGGTGCGCAGGCTAAGGGCAGGGCGCGGGCTAAGGGGAGGGCGCGTGCACGGGCGGAGGCGCGGAGGGCGCGTCTGGCGCGGAGGGCGCGGATGGCGCGGAGGGCGCGGAGGCACGGAGGGCTAGGCGCGGAGGGAGGGGTCGCGCGGGTCGGGCTGGCCTAGTGGCGCGCGACGGGCTGGCCTAGGGGGCGCGCGACTGACTGGCCTGGGGCGCGCGACGGGCTGGCCGAGGGCGCGCGCGACGGGCTGGCCGAGGGCGCGCGCAACGGGCTGGCCTAGGCGCGCGCGACGGGCTGGCCTAGGGCGCGCGCTACGGGCTGGCCTAGGTGCGTGCGACGGGCAGGCCGAGGGGCGCGCGACGGGCTAAGGAGGGCGCGCACGTGAGGGGAGGGCGCGGGCTACGCGCGGAGGGTGCGGAGGCGCTGAGGGCGCGGAGGGTGCGGACGGCACGGAGGGTGCTAGGGCGCGGAGGGCGCTAGGGCGCGATCGGGGCTAGGCTAGGCGAGGATCTAACCTACTCATGATACCATCTCAAGAACGGAGTGCAACGGAATGATTGGTTAAGGAAACAAGGCAGTACAAATAAGCAACCCTAACTGTGTGATACTCTCTAAGGAGCAACTCACTACAGCCTATCACAAATATCAACATTTGACAAAGGAAACAGGTAGTGGGTGTCGGTAGAGTGACAGAAGTCTAACCAAGACGCTACATGTCACAGTAAAGAGCTGGTGTCTACTTGCATACTTACTAAATGTACCATAAATCTAACATCTGGCTTCTGCTCCTGGGGATCACAGACCAATCAACGTCAGTGAGCTGCGCACACTCCTTCACATCCAGAAGCTGCAGCGCCTTCAGCTCACTCAAATCAGCTGGCAACGCCTGCAGCTGCGCACAACCACTCAAATCAAGAGACCTGAGCCGTGCAAGCCGTGAAAAGTTGGGACACAGGGAGCGGATGGAGCAGTGTAGAATCGACAGCTCGTTCAGGCAGGCAAGCTGGGTGAGAGAGGCAGGCAGATGCTCAAGCTGCGTGCAGCGAACGAGCAGCAGATCCCGCAGCCGGGATAATGCGCCGATGTCATACCAGTTTGGGCGCCAAGTGAACCTCCAAGGACGTCAGGTTCTGAAGCATAGTGACACTCGCTGGCAGCTCCCTCAACTCGCCCACACGGGCCAGCGTCAGCTTCCGCAGCTGCGGCAATGCTGACCCGATATCTGCCGGCAGCCTTTGGAGATTCATCGCGTTGTCAATATACAGGGTGCGCAGCTGAGAAAGAAACGTCAAGGCGAATGGAAGCTCCTCATCATCGTCTCCCAAGTTCAGAGTCAAACGCTCCAGATGAGAAATATTCCTGCTCACAGCGAACGTGCGGCCACGGCAACCCTGATCGGGGAAATCTCCCGAAGCCCCGTCTGCCTGGAGATGTCTGGCAGAACCATGGCCTGTTTGTCGCTTCCCCAGCTGAACGTTTCAAGCGATGCGGGCAGGAGCTAATCAGGACGTGTGAGCTCGCCACATGTGGCCACCTTAAGCTGCTTGAGCTTCGTCAGGCCGTCCCACCTTGTGGGCACGGAGGTGAGACTTGAGCAGTCTGAGAGTGTGAGAGCTTACAGGCGAGTCAGGCATGTCAACGATGCTGGAACGGCCGTGAGATGAGAGCAGGATGAGACGTGCAGCTCGTGCAGGTTGCTCAGCTCTCCAACGCCCTCTGGCAGCTCCTCCAATCCGCACTGGTGAAGCGAAAGGCTGGTCAATGAAGAGATCTCGAATAACGAGGACGGGAAATGCCGCTGCTGCGAACTCTCTCTCACAAGAAGCGTCTGGAGGTTACTCAGGCGTCCAATGTCCGCTGGAAGTGCCACTCGCCCGAGGCAGAGAGTCATGAGAGCTGTGAGGCAGCAGAACCCTGCTGGCAGCTCGCGGATTGAGTCACACGAGAGCAGGGAGAAGGTCTCCAGGGAGCTAAGCTGGCACACGGAGTCAGGCAGGCTCGCCAGCGGCAGGCTTTCCAAGCCCAGAGTTTTCAGGGAAGACAGGCTCCCAATGGTTTCCGGCAGGCGGCGAAGTCGGTTGCAGCTGGAGAGTAACAAGGTCTCGAGGTGCTTCAGGGAACAGAAACTTTCAGGCAGCTCCTCCAAATGGCATTCGAAAATGGTCACCTCACGAATACGCGGCAGCAATTCCGCAAAGTTGTCCGGAAGCCACTTCAGTTCATCGCAATATGAGATCTGCAGCCGTTCCAGACTTGTGCATGGCCAATCCGACAGCAACAGCTGGCAGGTGCTCCACGATTTTATCAATGGTAACTGTGCGATGGTGAACGCAGGCGAGCTCGGATCACCAAGATTAAACGTAGTCTGGAAAGAGATGGAAAGGCTAGTGATGCTGGGAAGACGACGTACGTTGGCGAGCTGCTTATCGCTCAACTTCGAGGAAACGATATGGAGAGTGGCGAGAGAGGCGAGGTTTCCCAGATCTGGAGCTTCTAAGGCGGAGGCGGCTGTTAACGCCAGGGTGTGAAGACGCGTTAGCTGGAAGAAGGAAGGCGGTAGGTTAGTGTCTCGATGGAGGCAGAGCAGTGAAAGCTGCTCCAGCTGAGTGCATCGCTGGAAGAAGCGATCCAAGCCAGCTTCGGTGATCGGGTGCAAGTGCCTCCCTAGGCATCAATCAGACGCTGCGTGATCGCGCGTCCGACGTGGAGAATCGCGAGCTTAGGACACGACGATGCGAGGTGAGCGAGGAAGGCGTCGCCTAGTAGGTTATCCACGCTGCCATAGCAGAGACGAAGATGGGTGAGGTTTGGGAAGCAAGCGACGGCATTTGAGACGTGTTGTAGGGAAATAGCATGTTTTTGTTCGACGACGAGGGTGGAGACGTCACATTGAGCTACATCGCGCCAACGTCGGCACACTAACGACACGAGAAAGATCTTGGCAGCGTTTGGAACAGCGGAGGGAATCGGAAGTGGAAAAGTCTCTTCGTCGAGACGGAAAACGTTGTCTGAAACGATCGAACGAAGGTACAGCTGCTTCGGCCTCAATGCGTGACAGTCGGAATTCCTAGATGTATGCCATAGTATCCTAGCGAGGACGTCACCGGGAAGGTTGTTAATATGTGTTGCTCGGTGCTTCGTCTTGTGCGCGATCATGGTTGAGCGAGGTAGATAAGAGAAGCGGATGCAGACTAGCCTGAGTTTGAGAAAAGAGTGTCACGTGACAGCAGCCTCGAGGAATGAAAATGGAGATTTATGGAAAGGCAGTGAGAGGCAATACTCCAACGGTTGAGAATTCAGAGATTTGTTGCATGCTGTGGAAGGTGTGTGTCAAGGAGGGGATTTGGTGGTGTCTCACAATGGCAAGGAGCGTGGAGCTCTCTAGGTGAGCTGGGGGGGCAGGTTGGTTTGGCGAACGACAGCACAAGCCTTGAGCGAACTGTCGCGAATTTGGGAATGGGTGCGGAGCGGACGAGGAAATGCTTCCTGACGGTGGTGCCTGCCTGCACCCACGTGACGTGAGGAAAGGGGGGGATTCGAGGGTGTTGGTTTCCTAGAGGTATCCGCCCGCAACTGGTGTTACCAGGACTACAATTCCAAGAGCTGCACGGAGAGGGTTGCTTGCAATTTTTCGCTAGGTGGTGGTACTGTTGAGTACGACTTCCCGTGGAGGGGAGTGTGGGTGGGGGGTGCATTGTGGCTTCCATGCTGATCATACAGTCCATGTTGTTTGACCATCTGCGACTGTCACTGCCCAGAATCGGAGAAGCTGGCGGCATACACCATTGTTTCAACTCCATCGATGTTAGTATCAAGTCGTGTCTTAGGTATAGGAGGTTCAGTGCTTGCGTCGTGAATCGTGGCCACGCACGATTGTGGTTACCCGATTAGGTGCACGCGGCATTTTTACGTCCGCCTCAATGACACCCTCGCCGCGACTCAGCAGTGAAAACATACATCGTAACCAAGTTTGTTTCATCTTGCGTTTTTATCGAATGAATCTTGCGATGTCAGCTGTTTAAGCGAATCCAGTGGTCCACGACTCGGTTTCTGGGAGTAAGGCCATCTCAGCGATTTCGGTTAGGATTTATTATTATTTATCCCAGCAAGCATCAGCCTTTTCCTTCGCCGCCTTCTCCCCCCTCCTCTCCACTTCATCTCCCCCTCTTCCGCTCGTATCGGCCGTCCAGACGACGCCTTTGCCATTCTCGCAGCCATTTGTGTGCTCGATATTGCCACGTCCCACACGTGACGCGTCAAGCTGGCACACGCAACCTTCGATGCCTGGTGGTTTGATTGTGCTTACGCTGAAGAATGTTCCGTTTTCCGTTGTACGCTGTCGGTACGTGTACTGCCAATCATCCGTGCTGAAGTATCTGTGGCTGTGTTGAGTTGGAATGTGCATGTGCCATGTTGACTCCTGGCCGTTTGACGCTGACCCACCTCTTGTCAGAAGTGGTGTTTGTTGTTTTATTTGAAACGAAACTACTCAATTCAAATTGACTCAACCTCATACCCCTTCTCTCTCTCCGCCTTCCCTGCCTGAATTTGTCTACAACAATCAGCACCCCCTCGCCGTCCCCCTGTTGGTACCACCACTCTTGCGGTGCATGGCGGACGATCAGCCAGAAACACCTATTCTGCATGGCGCCTCAGCACCGCTCTCAACTGCTCCACATCCAGCAGTACGCCCACTGCTCCCATCCACTTCTTTCTCGCACGTGCACTTTCCTTTCTCTTAGCAGCGCACTCTTTTTCTTCGCTCTCCTTCCAGCTTCTGTTTTCCCCAGTGCTTCGGTAACCACGTCGTGTTTAATCCAGCCATCTGTATTGAATTGAGCCGTTCCCATGTCGATATATGAAAATTGCTCTTTTCGCCCCCCCCCCCCCCCCCCCCTTTCCCTATTATCTCCTCCCCCCCACGTTTCAGCGTATCGTTTTTGAAGCCACAGCCGTCAGCACGAGCTGCAGTGGCGTCAGCAGAAGCGGAGATGGCAGCGTCAGTGTCGCCTTCTTCGTGGGCCCACACGGGCTTGTGCGAGTGGTGCCGCCTGCGCCTGCCGCGGCAGGAAGGGTGGATTTGAAATTCCCCAAAGCACGTGTTTCAACCTGTGTGTTTGAAAAGCTCATGGCGCCATACACACTTGTTTCGACCGGTCTGTCACTACTAAGGCATGGGAAGGTGGTCAGTGTAGTGGCGTGAAGCGTGTTCACCCACCACGGCCTGGCAGGCCTGTTTGTCGTTCGCCTGAACTCGCTGCTACTCGTCATGGAGGGGAGGAGAGCATCATCAAGCCAACTTCTTGTTCCTGCACGTCAGTTGAAGCAAATCCGCCGGGAACGACAAATCCGATACCACTCTGTGCTCTGGTCTTGCTGAGCCTTCCTTCTCCTTCCCTCTGCGCCAAAACCTGTGACGGTATCGTCAGCAGCCGCGACCATCACCCTTGTCTTTCCCTCCTTTCCTCTTCACTGCCCTCTTTTCCCTTCCTCTCTAACGCTGTGGGCTTACAGGAAGAGCTAAAGCCTACGGCTGTGCCTCTGAACAACCTCTGTTGTGGCCCATTGGTCAGGCAGGGCGTTATACTCTCGCCCTCCTCTTCTCCCCACCCCTCGTGAGTTTTTGTAGACCCCGTTCCTCGCCCTCTCCTCTCGTCTTCCCCTCACTCACTCCTGTTCCCCTCCCTCCTGTCCTTATCCCCTCACTCATCCAATGTTCCCCTCCCTCCTCTCCTCGCCCCTTCCCTCCTCTCCTCTTCCCCTCCCTGATTTCCTCATCTCCTCCCTTGTCTCTTCTTCCCCCCCCTACGCTCGTCTTCCTCCCGCCCGCTCGCCATCCAGACGAGCCTTGGCTGGCTGTCCTCGCCGCTCATATGCATAATTGGGACGAGCCCATCCCAGTTGTGTGCTTGGCGTTGCCACGCCATTCAGCCACTTCAAGCTGGTACGTTGCTGCTGGATGCCGGGTGGGTTGACTTGACTCTGCCTCCTTTTTAAGGATCCTCCATTCTCCACTAGAAGCTGCTAAAATGCTGGCTTATGGAATATCTACAGTTGAAGTATGTGCGACTCTATTTATTCACGTGTATATGCAGCGGCAGAGCTTCCCTTTGTCGAACGCAAATAGTTTGCCCCTCTTCCCCAACCCCCTCTCCCCTCCCTTATTTCCCCTTCATCTCGCTTCTCTCACTCCCCCTTTCCACACTCTCACTTCATCCCCCTTCCCCTTTCCCCATCCCCACCCACCCACCCCATCCCCCCCCGCCCCCCATTCCCCCTCCCCTCTCTCTTACAGTGCGTCACTGCAGGTCGCCCACACACGACTGTTGTTCAGGCCGCCACAGCACCGCTCTTCACCGCACCAAATCCAGCAGTCAACCCAGCTGGTGTTCTCTGCTCAGCAATGGCATCATTTGGAGAGACGACGCGTGTCACGGGAGGATTTCGCAGCGGTGACGGTGGCAGCACTGGCAGTGCCGCCGCTGTTCCAGCAGAGACAATTGTATGAGGTGGGTGTATGGGTGGGATGGGTGCGTAGGTGGGGTGGGTGTGGGTGTGGGTGGGTGTGTGGGTGGGATGGGTGTGGGGATGGGGTGGGTGTGTGGATGGGATGGGTGTGTGGGTGGGGTGGGTGTGTGGGTGGGATGGGTGTGTGGGTGGGATGGGTGCGTGGGTGGGGTGGGTGTGGGAATGGGTGTGAGGGTGGGATGGGTGTGTGGGTGGGATGGGTCTGTGGGTGGGATGCGTGTGTGTGGGTGGGATGGGTGTGTGTGGGTGGGATGGTGATGAAGGCCTAACGGCCGAAACGTGTTCGCCCAATTAGTACTTTTACTTTGAGACTTATCAAGTCCTGGATTATGCCTTTTTCCTAGCCTTACAAAGCAACCCACCCACTACACTTAGGTGAAAGTTTTACGGAGACCACACGGCTTGCTGCACTTTGAATCCTACTCTACTCTGCAAGTGGGGTTTGTGTGTGTGGGGTCAGGGAGTGCTTCCCCGATTGCTTTCCCCCAATCCCTCTCTCTGTTACTCTCCCCTCTTCTCTCCCCTCTTCTCTCCCCTCATCTCTCCCCTCTTCTTTCCTATCTTCTCTCCCCTTTACTCTCCCCTCATCTCTCCCTTTCTCTCTCCTTCAAGCTCATTGCTACCATGCTGATCGCTGCACCCCAAACACCACTGGCCAGCAGACCTGCAAGGCCCTATGTAGCACCCCTTGCTCTCCCACCACCCGTGTTTTTCCCCAAGAGCCGCACTACTCCCATTTGCCTCTGCCCTGTCCCCCTCTTCCACTCCCCCTTTCTGACGGAAATTCCCCCGACTGCATGCCTCCCTCCCCTCCTCTCTAACCTGTTGTTCCGCCTCCAACTGTATTCTGGGATTCACATATTTCTCTTCCTTCTTTCTCCTCATCAGCTCGCCAACTCACGAGATTCACCTCTCACCATCTTCTTCTCTTCCCCGCATTCTCTTCGCGCCGCTCCCACTCACGTTTTCCTCTCGTTTCGTCCCCTCTGCTTTCTCTCCGGCTCCAATATACCGCCTGTCCTCCTGCCTTCACCTCATTTTCCCATCTTTCTCTCGTTGGCCTTCCCTGTCCCCCTGCTGCTCCGATCAGCTGGGCTCGTTGGCGCAACTGTTACAGGGGAGCAAAGTGGAGCATGTGGTGCTCGTATCACAAGTGGGTTAAAGTGATACGAGCACGTTGCACTACTGTGCGCAAAGCATGCGACAACATACGCTATGCAACTGGTACAAGTGGCTTCGTTCAGACAGCTTAATAGTCGCGTTAAATGTCCCAGGTAGTACACTGCAAGCAGCAGGTGTGCAGGTGCCGTGCCACCGACAAGTGTGAAAGACACGCCTCTCACGCAGCTCAGGAAGCATCCAACCCTTTTTCATAAGCCTGGTCATTTGACCACTCCTATCTCTCCACCTGCCCCCCTGCCCTCTCTGTCCCATCCGTCTCTCTTCGCCTCTCCCCATCTGTCCCCTCCCCGCCCTCCCTCACGTCAGCTGGGAGCCTCGTCGCGCCCCTCAGGTCTAGGGGGGCTGCCCTAACCTGCATCGCCGCTCGCAGCAGCGGCAGAGGCGGACGAAGCACTAGCTGCTGCTGCGGCTGCAGCAGCAGTAGTGGCGGAGAGAGGGGAGCAGCAGGGGAGGCGCGGAGGCGGGGGTTTGGGTGCACGGTGGTGCGAGGGGGGAAGGTGGTGGATGAACCTGGCCGGCAGAAGGGCATCTTGTCAACATGCGTGCCACGCTGCTGAGCTGTTCTGGTGGGGAGTGAGGCCTGGGGTGCCTCGTTCTCCCCCCACTCGCCTCTCCGTCCCTGTATCCCCATCCTCCCCCTCTTCCTTCGGGTTTCACTCCTTACTCCCTGTCCCTGTTCCCCCCCACCCTTTTGTCACGTCAGGAAGAAACGTTTCTTTCTTGGTTTTGTTCCCCACCTTCGCATTGGCTTTTCTCCCCTCCCCTACCGTCTCCTTTCCCCTCCACTGCCCCTCCATCCTGCGGCCTCAAGGCAACACCGCAAAGAAAAACATGGACCTAGCAACCCCTCCAATGCTTTCCTCTCACTCCGCCATTCATCAAGCCAGAGAGACACAGTAGAAGGAAACATATTTCAGGAGCATGTGGACGGTGGTAGTGGTGGCAGCGGCTGCTTTTTGTTCTCCCCTCTTCCAATCCCCATACTCTCATCAGGTCCCACCTCTCTCCGCATCCCTTCACTAACCCCCCAGGGCGACATCATAAGGGGTAACGTAACACGGGAGGATCGGGCAGCCGGGGTGCATGGAGCACCAGTCGTGCAGCAGTGCAGGTGCATGCAGCACGCACTGTCCATCCCCTCCTCCCCAACTCGTCCCTCCCCCATTGTTGTCAGAGGTCCACTGGTGATCCCCGATTGATCCTAGGGAAGGGTTACAGGCATGTTGGCCTGGGGGGTTATGGGCGCACTGACCCGCTACTTAACAAGCCCTTTTATCCCAATGGTCTAGTGGTTGGGATTCTGACATGGTATCAGAGCGAAGGTCTCGGGTTCGAATCCCAGTGTGTGCACTTCGGGCATCCCAGTGCGAGGGGGTGTCAGAGGTCCACTGGTGATCCCCGATTGATCCTAGGGAAGGGTTACAGGCATGTTGGCCTGGGGGGTTATGGGCGCACTGACCCGCTACTTAACAAGCCCTTTTATCCCAATGGTCTAGTGGTTGGGATTCTGACAATTGTTGTGTCGCCTCTCCCCTCGTCCCCTCACCGTGCCCCCAGGGCGACACCACAAGGCCCAGCGTGTCGCGAGAGCATCTGGCAGCCGTGGTGCAGGGGGCAAATGTTGTCCTCCTCCTTCCCCCCCACTCATGCAGCAGTGCAGGTTCATGCAGCAAGCATTGTCCGCCCTTTCCCCCACTCGTCCCGCCTCTCTCCATGTCCCCTCACAATCCTACCAAGGCGGCACCACGAGGGGCAGCGTGTCAAGGGAGGATCTGGCAGCCGTGGTGGCGGCAGCGCTGGCAGTGCCACCGCCTTCCCAGCACAGACGGGTCATTAAGGTGAGCGTGTGTTGGTGTTGAGGGGAGGGTGTGTGTTGATGTTCAGGGGAGGGTGTATGTTGATGTTCAGGGAAGGGTGTGTGTTGATGTTCAGGGAAGGGTGTTGAGGGGAGTCTGTTGCTCCTCCGCCCCCTCTCCCCACCTAGTCTCTCCCCTCGCACTGCAATTTTCTCCCAGTCATCTCTCCCACACTCATCCCTCCCACGCTCATCCCCCCCGTGTCTCTCCCTCCACCCATGTCTCTCCCATCCCAGGCAAGGTGGTAACTCCGACTCCCTTGGGGTTCCAATGATGGATACGACTTCTCACAGCAAATAGCTGGGCTCCTGACAGAGCCATTTGAAACCTGATAGGCGGATGCCGCTTAGAGGTGTTCGAACGACAAGGCAGATAATTAGTTCGCGCTCTACTTCATCCTCAGAGCGCAATGCAGTGCGGGATTTCGTTGGTGATTGAAAAAACCCATAGTGCTACTCTCCGTTCACCAATGTCGTCTCAAATTAGGAATGCAACGGAATAATGAACTAGAAAGAGGATGGGGTACAAATATGCAAACCTAAAAGCTGTACCCCCTACAAAGCACCTCACTACAGCCTATATCACATATTATATATTTGACACACCCCCATAGGCTAAGTGAGGGGCATCAAAGCAAGCAGGGTGAACAAACGGTCACAAGACCAGTCAATGCAAGAAGCAAAGCAAGCTCAATGTGGATCTCAAGGACACCACACAAATTCCGAGCACAAGCAAGCGGCCACAAGGCCAGTTCAAGAGTTCACTAGGATATATATAGCAAAGCACAACAAGCAGAGCAAACAACAAGTCTACAGCAACCGAGGGCCTACCTCAACAAGCCCCAACTGCACACAGAACCTGTGGTGGTCACCAGGCGCCAAGGCCTTGGTGAAGACGTCGGCAGTGTTGGCCTCTGAGGCCACAAAGTCCAAGCGTGCCTGGCCACGTCGCTGCAACTCTCGCAGGAGGAAGTACCTCACGTCAATATGCTTCACTTTGCTCTCCAGTCGAGGCTCTCGACACAGGAGAATCATGGCCTTGTTGTCAGCGTACAAGGTCAGTGCAGAGCGAGGCCGCTCACCAAGGTCGGCGAGCAAGAAGGTCAACCAGCGAAGCTCCTGTGCCGCCATGGCACCAGCGTAGATCTTTGCCTCTGCACTGGACGAAGCCACAGACGACGACCGTGTAGACCTCCACGACACAGCACCAGCACCCAGACTGAAGCAGTAACCCTGAGTCGATTGCTGAGTCTCCACGTCGTTAGCGTAGGAAGAGTCGCAGTGACCGGTCAACACAACTGGCTGTGTCCCTCCAAGCACAAGCCCCATGCCTGATGTAGTCGCCAGGTACTTCGCAACCCTCACATCAGCTGTCCAGTGAACTGGACGGTGTCTCCCAGTCGCAACAAAGCGAGAGAGGACGCTGAGGGGAAAGGCGAGGTCCGGCCGAGTACAAGTCATCAGGTACATGAGGCAGCCCACAAGCTCTGCGTAGGGGCCACTAGACTCAAAGGGCTCGTCGGGAAAAGGGCCAGTGAGTCGATGGTCAACGGCAAGAGGAGTGGGCTGTGTGGTGGAGAACTGAAACCCGAACCGCCGAAGGACCTGCTGCACCATGTGTGACTGAGTCAGTGTGATGGTGCGAGCGGCTCTGTCCCTGGTGATCTGCAGGCCAAGGTAGCGCTGCAGTTCACCGAGGTCAGTGCACTTGTGTCTCTTCTGCAGTTCGGATTTCACCTCATTCAGAGCTGCCCTGTCTGCTGTAGCAAAGACCAATTTGTCGACGTACACTAGTATAAAGAAAGGAGTGGAACCAGTGCGAACAAACAGCGACGGGTCGGCAGAGGAAGGACGAAACCCAAGGTCACGAAGTGTGGAGCGAAGAGTGTCGTGCCACTCATGGGGCGACTGGCGGAGACCGTAGACTGGCCGCCTCAGGCTCCACTGAGTCCCAGGTGGGAAGGTGTCAGTGAAGCCAGGAGGACGGCGCAGCCAGATCTCCTCGTGTAGTCGGCCCTGGAGAAACGCAGTGGAGAAGTCAAGGGAGTGCAGCTCGTAGTCTTGCTGTGCTGCTACGTGCAGTAACACCCGAAGAGTAGTCATCTTCGGGGTCGGGGCGAAGGTCTGGAAGAAGTCAACTCCCTCACGCTGACTGAAACCCCTAGCCACGTAGCGCGCCTTGAACACAGGCGGTGAACCAGGCAGCCGCTTCACCTTGAAGAGCCACATGCCATCGACAACGTTCGCCCTGGGAGGGGGAACTGCGTCGACGTACGTGCCTGTGGATCTCCAAGACGCTAACTCTGCATCCATAGCCGCTTTCGACTGAGAGGCCCACTTCCCTGACATTGCCTCACGGTACGTGCGAGGTGTCGGTATGTCAAGGGCGTCGGGGTCTCCCTCAAGGGAAAGCATCATGGCGCAGAGAGAAGGGGAAGCGGCTGCTAAGAACTCCAGCTCAAACTGACTGTCCTCTAGGACGTCACAGCCAAGGGCAGACTCACCCCCGACGGACAGAGGACGGGGAGGTGGAGCAGCCACCACACGCGTGGCGTAGTCAAGACGGCGGGTGGAAGCAAAGTCAGCGACAGCGGGAGTAAGAGCCGAGGTAGACGACGGAGAGGCACGAGGGTCGGTGACAAGAGAGGCGAGGACACGAGAGACAACAGGGCGAGCAGCACGGTAGTAGTCAGTGATAGGGTGAGAGGAAACGGTGAGAGACGACTCAGGAGGTGAGGGGAGAACAGACACAGGCGGAGAACGACGAGGAGGAGAACGAAACAAGACAGTGCGTAGGTCGGCAAGAGGAGACGAGGGCCGAGCACGCGGAGGACAACGACTGGTCCAGTCGTGCGGGACAACAGGAGGAGACGACCGTGACTGAGGAGGAGAGAAAACAGCCGGAGTCGAGTCCGGAGGAGGAAACGTAGGACCGTACGCAGTAGGTGACTGGGTGTGGACAGGAGGAGAGGAAGGAAGACCAAGGGCCCGAAGGCCACTCACTGGAGGGAACAGCTGCTGCAAAGGTGGCGGCTGCGGCGTCTGCTGCTGCTGCTGTTGCTGCTGCGGCTGCTGCTGCTGCTGCTGGTCCAACTGCTGCAGCTCCTGCCTCTCCTGCTCCACCCGCTCCTGCTCCTCGCGCTCAAGCCGGCGAAGGGCCTGGAAGCGGGTGTCGTGGCGGTGTGGTCGCGCAGTGGGCGACACAGTAGGCGAGCCTCCAGCTCCCGTCTCCTCAGTACCAGCACCTCCAGCTCCAGCACCCCCAGAACTAGCACCTCCAGTGCCAGTACCTCCAGCACCAGTACCCCCAGAACTAGCACCTCCAGTGCCAGTACCTCCAGCACCAGCACCCCCAGAACCAGCACCTCCAGTGCCAGCACCTCCAGCTCCAGCACCCCCAGAACTAGCACCTCCAGTGCCAGAATCTCCAGCTCCAGCACCCCCAGAGCTAGCGCCACCTGCGCCAGCACCTCCAACTCCAGCACCCCTGGAACGAGCACCCCGAGACCGAGTACCACCAGCAGCTGCACCTCCAGCTCCAACACCAACCGAGTCCACAGTAACCTGTCACGGAAGTGCCGAAGGCTACTGAGGGGACTGTGAGGAGGACTGCGGGGAGGGAGACGCTACCTGACGCGCAACCGAGGGTAGAGGGGTAGCGTGAGACACACCGGACGGGGCAGGACCAGGGGGGGGTGGGGGTACCAGAGGAGCGGGAGCAGGGGGAAGAGAGGGTGCGAGGAAGAGGGGGGGAGGGGGAACCGGGAGACCTTGACAGGGGTACCGAGTGTAGTAGGACACTGACTCGTCAAACCGGACGTCACGAGAGTCTAGAAACTGGTGGAGGGGCGGGTGGTAAAAGGAGTAGTCGGGAGAGCCCACCGGGAAACCAAGGAAGACACAGGGGATGGCGCAAGCCGAGAGCTTGTCCGCAGAGGTGCCGCGGACAAGCGCAAGGCAGCCCCAGACGTGAAAGGCTGACCCAACACCAGGGGACCCAGTCCAAAGACTGGTCGGTGAAACCTCTGGCCGCGAGACACGCGGCTGGAGGTTTAGCTGGTGCGCGGCGTAGCGCAGCGCGTAGGGCCACATAAAATGGGGCGCACTGGCATGGATCATGGACGTGCGGGCGATGTCCATGACCAAGCCAATGCGACGCTCAGCAACCCCATTCTGCTGTGGGGACTCCGGCAGCGTCCAGGACAGTCTGATGCCCTGCTCGCCGCAGAAACCGGCAAGGACGCCAGAGCAAAACTCACCCCCACGGTCGGAGTGGAGACAACGGACACGACTACCACGAGTGCCCTCAGTGGCCAGAAGCCACCGGATCAGCGTAGAAGTCACCTCAGACTTCTTCGCGAGAGGAAACACCGTGGTGTACCTGGAGTAGTCGTCAACGACCACTAGAAAGTATCGCTCCCTCTCAAGTCCCAGCGTAGGGGCATTGCCCCAGACGTCCAGGTGGAGAGTCTGGAAGGGAGCAGTGGCCGGACGAAGGGAGGAGGAGTGCGGAGTGGCGCGCAGGCGGCCGGCGACGCAAGGAGTGCAGGGTGGGGCAATCGAGGGAGGGAGCGACGGAAAGACGCGCGGGAGACCTGAGACAAGACTGTGACTGGCCATGCTGCGGAGGCGGGGGAGCGACAGGTGGCCAAGGCGGTGGTGCCACAAGACGGTCGGGTGGGCTAGGGACCGACAGGAGCAAGACGCAGCAACCTGACCAGACACCTCTACCTGACCAGACACAGCAACCGGACTAGACACTGGGACCTGAGGGGACGCAGCGACCTGAGCGGAGGAAGCAACTGGGGAGCGCTCGGTGTGGAGAACGTAGAGACCAAAGCGGGACTCCCTGGTGAACGTGGCCAAAACAACACCTGTAGCAGCGTCTGTACAGATCGCAGTCCTCCCACCCCCCACAAAAGTAACGGTGATCCTCCTGTCCTGGAGGTATCCAACACCCACCAAGTTCCGAGTGAACGAGGGGATCTGGAGGCCGCGCAGGACACCAAAGGGGACCACAGGGCACGGGAGGGTGGTGGAGCTGCGCGCAACGGCTGGTCCTGAAGAAGGATCAGCCAGAGCTACCGGAACCGGAGCAAGGAGTGGTGTGAGGGTCGTGTGGTCGCGGAAGAAACACTGCGACGCGCCAGAGTCCAGCGTGAACGACAGAGACGCCTCAGCCGGAGGCGTGTCAGGTCCGGAGGCTACACAAGCACCTAGACTAGAGAGGCACAGGTCTACACTAACAG